CTGCGGGGCAGGTGAGCCGGCCGGGCCCGCGGCGCGCCCACGAGCTGCACACAGGTTCCACGCTCCCTTGCCGTCCCCAGGAAGAGAGGGAATTGGGGGATTTGGGCCGCGGGCGCTGCCATGCCGCGGGCGGGGGGAGGGGCAAGGCGAGCCAAATGCCACCGGCTTTCCTGGCGGCCCGCTGGGTGCTGCTGTCCCACCTGCTTTCTAGAGCCCGCACCAAGGGGGCTGCCGCGCATCGCGCTGGGGGCCTAGCGCCGGGGCGTCTTGCCTGGGGGACCCCGGAGGCCGGAGCGCTCTGGTCCGCCATCTTTCTGACGTCACCCTGGACTCAGTCTTGGGTCGCAGTGTCCAGAGGACCCTTGTGCATGTGTCCACCCATGGCACACGTGGTCCCCGGGGGGCAGGCGCTCGCTCCTCTGGCCCCAGCGGCTTCACCGGAGCAGAAGCCCAGAGAGGGTGGGCTGTGTTTCTAAGAGAATAAATCTGTCACATGCTGGCCCTTATTGAAGCTTATGCCGGAACAGTGCAGAGCAGTAGCTCAGAGCATGGGTTTGAGATGGACCCTAAGGCTGCTCTGTAACTCTCACCTGAAGGATTCCTCAGACTCAGTCTCCTGTGTGTCCTGGGGACCATAAAGCCATCTGCTGTGAGAGCTGTGGGGAGGACAGGGAGTGAACAGCAGAGACAGAAGCTGCGATTACACAATGGTGGCAAAAGGCCACAGGCCTCATGATTGCAGGTGTCCCCCTGGCTGCCTGGCCTGGACAACAGGCCCCTGGTAGGGGGAAGGCGCTGCCTAAGTTATAGGTATGTCACTGCCCTTCATGTCCCCCTTAGGATGACTGCTCAGGGAGGGCGTAACATCCAAAACAAAGGCTAGATGAAGGCAGTTTATTGAGGGCCACTGTGTGTGGAACATTTGAACCACCCTGCTGCCCGGCAACCACCACCGGATTCTGACAGCCCTGGGTAGAAAGCTGCTGCCCACTGGGACAGGGACACACAGTGGAGGCCAGAAGAGAAGCCGCAGTTGGATCCCAGAAGTCCCTAGGCTGCCTGTGGGTCTTGCCCTCCTGGTCTGTTCCCTGGAGGCCCAGGGACCTGGTCCTCTGGAGCCCAGTCCTCAGCCAGATTGCACAGCCTGTCTCCAGCTGCCTTCCTCCCGCCGTCCCTCACCAACCCCTGCATAGGACTTGGCAGTGGCACCTTGGTCCCTCTGCCAGGTCACCTTGGCTTGCAGTGCCAAAGTGAGCCAAAGTCCTCCTTGAAGTCTCCCCAGAAAGTCCTGCTCCAGCTTGGGACAATGTCCCCATGACCCTCAAAGCAGTCTCTGCACTGCTGGCCTGGTGTGCCAGCTCTCTGACCTCCAACGCCTCTTGTGTAGGAGCAGGTGCCAACCCTCGTTTCCCCCGTGCTGCACCTGGGACGCTCAGCATGGGTGCAACAGAATCCCAGCTCTGGCCAAGGCGAGATGCAGGGAGGGTCTAGCTGGGCCCCAGCAAGTTTCACACTCTGGGTCTGGGCCTGGCAAGTGTGTGTGGTTGTGGGAATTCAGGAAGGGAAAGAAAGTGTTCACACACCAAGCAGGATTTGCAGACGTTGACAGCCAATACCAAGAGGCCACAGTGCTCTGATGCCCGGAGGCCCCCTAGGAGGGACCCGGTGCTCTTACTATTGGGGAGTGAGGGAGAGGACTGGGGGATATGGGGGGGGCTTCCTCCCGCCCTGCTTCAGCTGCGGGAGAGCACCTTCGACCCAGGAAGACTGCAGCTGTCTCCAGAGTGAGAACTTGCCTCGCATACCCCTGGGATGGGTGAGGGGCCCGACCCTTACCAGGCAATGCCCCTTCCCTACCTCTGGGCTCCTGGGTCTTCAAGTTTGACTGTGTTTGGCCTCAAAGTTCCCACCAGTTTCACTGATTTAAAAACTCAAATCCCACGACCTTTACTGTTGAGGGAGGGTGCTGAGGCCAGCGGGCAGCAGCCCTGCCCTGGCATAATGTGGTCACCCTCTGCTTGGAAGGGGCAGAGGGGCTAAGAAAGAGTGCCTGGTAGCCACAGTCCCAGCCTGGAGGTGGCATGCTCTGGCATGGGGTGGTACTGAGGTTTGCATCTTTCCTTGACCACAGAGCCCAAGGGGATCTGGCCTAGGGAGAGGAAGCCGGCAGAAGGAGAATCCATTCTCATGGTCCTCAGCAGGCCTGTGAGGGTGTCAAGAAATTACATCATCCTGTCACACCCCTGACAGGTTGGGTCAGGGCAGAGGGCAAAGGCCAGTCTCGGCTCCATTTATAATCTAGAAAGCCTAGTCCGGGCCAGCCCACGGAGTATGGTGAGGGTGCCCTGCCTGGCTTGGCCCTAGGTGCTTGGTGTGGTGAGGGTGCCGGTGTGTCCAGAGGAGTCCAGAGCGCAGACAGCCATGGGGCTGCTGACTGGAGAGACATTGGGGCCCCTGGCTGTGGCTGTGGCCATCTTTCTGCTCCTGGTGGACCTGATGCACCGGCGTGTGCGCTGGGCCACACGCTACCCACCGGGCCCTATGCCACTGCCCGGGCTGGGCAACCTGCTGCAGATGGACTTAAAGGATATGCCTCGCTCTGTTAACCAGGTGAGGAAGGTTGGGGAGTGGGCAGCAGAGGTCATGGGGCCCCCACCTCACAGCAGATGGTGGGAGTGAAACCACAGGCTGGACTAGAAGCTGAGCCAAGGAGACAGGTTGGAGGGGCTTCCTGAGGACATTCGTGCCGGGCCTGTGGGACACTTTGAATTTTCCAAAGGTCAGAGAGGGCAAAGGCTCGGAGAGGGGGTGGGACTTGTTAGTGGGTTTGGGTTCTGGTTGGACCTTGCTTGAATTATGTAAGCCTGAGTCCCTTCTGTTTAGATGGGGGGAAAGGTCTTGCGAATGGGGGAGAGGAGTCCAGTCAGGAGCCCCATTTAAATCAGGAAATCGAGGCTGAGGGGGGTAGAGAATGGGTTCAAATCTTGCTCTGTGGGTCCTTAGGCCTCACTGCTCACCTCTATGAACCTCAGTTTCTTCACTTGTAAAACAGAGTGCTAACTTTGCCTACTGACAATTTTGGTGTCCTTTGCAAAGTCATAGGTGGGTGGTCTGATCCAACCTGAGGTCCTTGATGATCAGAGGAAGTGACCCCCATGCTCACGCTGCCAGATAAAGCCCTTGCACCCACTGGCTGCTGACGGCCCAGGTGTCCCGCAAGGCTAGGGCCATGAGACTGGGGCCAAGCTTACCCTCGCCCCTGCGCCTGCAGCTGCGGCGCCGCTTTGGGGACGTGTTCAGCCTGCAGCTGGCCTGGACGCCCGTGGTCGTGGTGAACGGGCTGGCGGCCGTGCACGAGGCGCTCGTGTCCCGCAGCGAAGACACCTCCGACCGCCCGCCTATGCCCGTCTACGAGCACCTGGGGTTTGGGTCGCGCTCCGGAGGTGAGCGGAGGACGGGGCAGACCGCGGCGGGGGGCAGGGCCACAGTGACAGGCGACCCCGCAGGACCAAGCGAGAAGAGTCGTGGACTTGTGGTGCAAGGGGCGGCAGGCGGAGGGGGCAGCCTGCGCCAAGGGTGGGGGAGAAGGATGTGGGGTGACGTGGAGGAGAATCAGTGTGGGCGGGGGCTGGGGTGGGCAGACCTTCCCAGAATGGGGGGTGGGCTGAGACAAGACCTGCCACCAGCAAGAGATTGCTGCCGAGCAATGTGGGCAGACAGTGGGACCTGCCCCAGCTGGAAGGGGGTGTCAGAGTTGGGGGGAGTTGGTGGGGTGGAGGACGAGTTATGTGGGCGGAGCAGGCGGCCGAGGCCTGCACCAAAAGGGGCGGGACTTGTGGGCAGGGGACCTGGCCCCGACTTGGCCCTGGTGAAGCAGGGAGGATAGGAGAGCAGTGTGCGGGCAGAGGCGGGGCCAGGGCACACCCTAGCCACGCCCACTGCCCTGCCCCAGGAGTGATCCTTGCACGCTACGGGCACGCGTGGCGAGAGCAACGGCGTTTCTCTGTGTCCACTCTGCGCGACTTCGGCCTGGGCAAGAGGTCACTGGAACAGTGGGTGACCAAGGAGGCCACCTGCCTCTGTGCCGCCTTCGCTGACCAGGCCGGTGAGTGCTGGGGCTGAGGGGGGAGACAGAGGCGGAAGGGAGAGGGAAGGGGAGATGGAGGCGACCCGATCTGCACCGTCCTCCCCTAGGACGTCCCTTTAGCCCCAAGGCCCTCCTGAATAAAGCGGTGAGCAACGTGATCGCCTCCCTAGTCTACGGGCGCCGCTTCGAGTACGACGACCCGCAGCTCCTCAAGCTACTGGACTGCCTGGAGGACTCGCTCAAGGAGGAGGCGGGATTCCTGCGCCAGGTGCGGGAGGCCAGCGGCAGCAGCCGGCTGAGCCAGCTCAGTGGAAGGCAGGCCTGCGCCCGCAATGGGCCTTCAGGGAGGAGGGTTTCTAAAGAGGGGCATTGGGGCAGGGGCATTTCAGAAGCGGCCCCTGCAAGAGGACCGGCCTGGAGGTGAGAATCGCAGACAAAAGGTGGGGCAGGCCAGGATGAGACCCGGGAGAGAGCTAGGAACCTGTACCTCCATTAGAAGCCACAGAAGCAAGGACAGGTAGATTCTGGGTTTATCCTTCTGGCAGCCCAGGCCAAGGGAAAAGGTGGAGGCCGGCAGGTAGGGAGGAACCAGGTCAATGGCGGCAGCTGGGACCTGACTTGTCAAGGGGAACACCTGAGTACAGGATCCCACATCTGTGGCCTGCACAGCTGCTGGAAGTGTTCCCAGTGCTCCTGCACATCCCAGGGCTGCCTGCCAAGGTCTTCAAGGCGCAGAAGGCCTTCATGGCCATGATGGATGAGTTGATCACCGAGCACAGGATGACCCGGGACCCGGCCCAGCCACCCCGAGATCTGACTGATGCCTTCCTGGACGCGGTGGAGACGGTAAGGGGCAGCTGCCAGGGACAGAGCCGAGGGGTTGTGGGTTGTGCCATGAGGTGAGCCCAGGCAAGGTAGGGCCTGTGTGTCATCCAGTGATCTGGCACCCAGGCTTCTGGGTGTATTGTAGGCGGCCATTTGGGGGCTTCTTCCCTCTGCCCCTGAGCTCACCCTCTCTGCATGGCCCAGGCCAAGGACAACCCCAAGAGCAGCTTCAATGATGAGAACCTGCGCATGGTGGTGGTAGACCTGTTCTCCGCTGGGATGGTCACCACCGCGACCACACTGACCTGGGCCCTCCTGCTCATGATCCTGCACCCGGATGTGCAGCGTGAGCCCAGCCTGGGGGCCTGGTGGGATGGGTGAGGGCGGAAAGGGACAGCCTGGGACCCCTGAGCTTGGTTTGGCCACCAGGAGTTTGAGGCAGAGGCTGAGTTCTGACTCTGAGGGCAGAGTGAACTCCTCCCCCACATGGGCCCAGCCCCAAGGCCTGACCACTGTGGGGGTGCTTGTCTGTCCAGGCCGCGTCCAACAGGAGATCGATGAGGTAATAGGGCAAGCGCGGCAACCAGAGATGGGGGACCAGGCCCAGATGCCCTTCACCATGGCCGTGCTCCATGAGGTGCAGCGCTTTGGGGACATCATCCCCCTGGGCGTGCCCCACATGACATCCCGTGACACTGAAGTGCAGGGTTTCCTCATCCCTAAGGTAGGCCTGTGGCCCTCCTCGCCCCTGCTCAGCACCACCCACCATCTGGTAGCCCTGGCCTGGCCACTGCCTCATTCCCACAGGCACCCACTGGCCCCTCCTGGGTGATGTGGGGATGAGAGCAGAGGTAGACCCCCAGCTGGGTGAAGACAAACTAAAGTGTGTTGGAGGAGCCTGTGCATGTGGGGGCAGGCGGCAGTGAGGGTGCCCATGGGGCAGGGAGGTTGCCAGAACAGGTGTTCCAGGCTTCGTGGAACGCATGTTTGGTGGCAGCGGTCCCAGCATCCCCCAGCCCAGACCCCACCCATGTCCGGCATCTCCTGCCAGGGGACAACACTTATCACCAACCTGTCGTCAGTGCTGAAGGACGAGACCTTCTGGAAGGAGCCCTTCCGCTTCCAGCCTGAGCACTTCCTGGACGCCCAGGGACGCTTCGTCAAGCAGGCAGCTTTCATGCCCTTCTCAGCAGGTGCCGGCGGTGCCCAGCTTGCTTTCCCATCCTGAGGGAGTCGTGGAGGGATGGAGCCCAGGCCCCAGGCTCACAGAGCCCTGCCCCCCACCCACAGGCCGCCGTTCATGCCTCGGGGAGCCCCTGGCCCGCATGGAGCTCTTCCTCTTCTTCACCTGCCTCCTGCAGCGCTTCAGCTTCTCGGTGCCAGCTGGGGAGCCCTGCCCCAGTGACCACGTTCTCCTTGGCTTCCTGGTGACCCCATCCCCGTTCCAGCTCTGTGCTGTACCCCACTAGAGGGGGTACCAAGCCCCCAGCCTGCTCCTCAGCGGGGAGCCCTAATGTACAATAAACCAGTCTGGTGGCTCTAGCCTTACTTCTGAGTCCCACCCAGGCCCCTTAACCAGCCCTGGCAGTGATGGGGCCTCAACAGCATCCCCAGGGCCAGTGCCTAGCCTACCTTATCCATCTCTACCTAGCATTTGACCCCATTTGAGAGATGGGTATACTGAGGCTCAGAAAATGACAACTTACCCCTAGTCACCTATGGAAACCCAATACTGGCTACTTGGGTGGTAACAAAGTCTATGCACAGGTCCCAGCTCCTGCTGGCCCTGTGGGGATGGGGAGGGCCTCACTCAGCCTGGTGCCGAATCTCAGGCCTGACGGCACCCACCTGGTACTACAGGTCAGCAGCTCAGCCAACAACATGAAGTCTGCTCCCCCACTTCACCTATAACACCCCAAAAAGTGGGGAACTCAGGAAGGCTGGGAAGTGATATGCCAGGTTAACACTCAGGCTCATTGGGTGCAGAGCTCTCCCTGGGGAGCCTAATGGCAGCCCAGAAGCCAGCCACCTCCCTGAGCCTCTCAGTCACCCCAACATTGAGTTGGCTACCTTCCCCAGCCCCTCAGGGATGCTCATGGCCCACCTCCTTCCAGGTAAGCGTTGTCTCATTGCCAGGCTGGAACTGGAGGACACTTGTCTGGGCTCCAACCCAGGGCACGGTCCTTGGAGTGATCAGGTCAGACCCAGCTCTCAGGACACTTAGCCAGGGACAGGGAATGAGCCCCCATGGGCTGCAGGCATGTCCTAGGGACAGGGGTGGAACCTTGGACCCATGTGTCAATGGGTGGCCACAGCAGGAGGAGGCCACATGAGCACCTTGAAGGAGGACACCCTGGCTCTAGTCCTTGTCACAACACTGTGTGACCCTGGGCTTCTGTCTTCCTTTCAGCCAATGAGATTGCACCAGATGGCATCTGGGTCCTGACTTCCTGCCCTGACTCTAGGGCTGTGACCTTGTTAACCTGCCCTCCACCACCTGTGCCCACCCCCAGAATGAACTGGCTCTAGATTGAGACAAAGGCGGCACCCAAGGGCTTCTTAATGACTATGCTTACTCACTCTTGGGGAGACCCCTTGGTGTATTTAGTTAACAGCTTAGGGACCTCAGACTCTCAGGGCAGAAGCCCCCCAACTAACAGCATCAAGAGCACCCCTGGCAAATTCCACCAGTGTCTTCTAGATGCCCTCATGACTGGGCGCTCCCCAGCTCTCAGCAATCAGGGAACTTGGTCTGTCCCTTGACATGGAGTCAAAGGCTAGCCAGGGCCCTTTTAGCCTCTCCAGAGTACCCACTATTGTGCTGTGTCAGGCCAGGTGGCAGGGTGTAGTATTCCTGCAACTTTTTGGGACAGGGAGTGTAGACAGGCCACACTGGGTGGTGAGGCCCTGAAAGGAGGCAGCGGGGCCACCCTGGCATCACCTTGTGCATTTATTGGAGTTTGTCACTCGTGCTTCTGAGTCTCGGGGCTGTGAGGGGCCAGGAACCAGCCAAGCCGGAGCTTCCTCAGGAGCTGGGGGACCCACCCCCCAGGCCTTTCCTCCTTGCTCTCCACTGCAGAGGCCTCTACAGAACACAGACAGGCATGCCCTGTGTCCCCCTTGCTGGGAGGAACCTTTTGCCAGGGCTAAGGTCTCTGCTGATGGGGGTGGGGGCGCAGGGTAGCACTGATACAAGGTTTTCCTCCTGTCCAAGGGGAGTGGTCTGGAGTCCAGCCTGCCAGGCAGGAAACAGGAGGCAGGAGGCTCATTCAGGAAGGTCAGGCATCTGGCTCCCTGGACTTCTCCCCTCCCCAGGACAGGAGGGTCTGAGAGGAGCTGGGTTATGGTGACCTCTGCAGGGTCACCAAGGTTAGGGAGGGAGGCAGGCTGCTGCAGCAGGGTGGGAGCGCTCTCTTACCAGAAGGAGATAGAGCAGTCTCCCTTTGGACTGTTTTCTTTCCCTGGGAAAGAAAAAGGGGAGCAGCGGTGGGATGAGACAGGTTCTACATTGTACAGATGGGAAAACTGAGGCCTCACTACAGAAGTTGGGGGAGGCCAGGCCTCAGACCCACCCTACTCATACCACGCCTGCTCCTCTCAGCTCCACAGAGAGCTGCGCCACTGAGATGGCAGTCTGGCCCAGTCACAGGGGTGCCCCAGCCCTCAGCCCTCCCTCCCCACAGCCCCCCCCATCCTGCAGCACTCTGGACTCCTTAGTAGGACCCACACTGGGAACATTCCTGTTGAAGCACTGGGCTTCCTTACCTCACAACCTGGGGTCCCTGCCACCTCCTTCTCCTCAGCCACTTCCTTCCCAGCAGGAGTGGGGCAGGCTGCTTCCGGTCCTGAGGACCTCACCTCCCCTTTATCCTGAGGCAGGATGTCAGTCCCTTCCTTGGGGGCAGCATCCTTCAGTCCTCCCGTTGCCTTGGGGGGGGTGGCCTGCCAGGAGATAAGTGGGCATAATGCGGTCCCAGGGCCCTCAGGACGCCATATCCTCACCATCTCCACATTGGGGTGTACATGGTTCTTGGTTTCTCCAGGGAAGTCGTTCCCTCTCAGCTCGAGCTGTGGGCGGGTTGAGTTTCCTGGAGGCATCCTGCCGCTACCCCTGGGACTCCTGGCCATGAGCCGGGGCATCCCTGGATCTCATGGAGCTGATGGGAGAGAGCCCCAGCCCCAGGCCCTTCCAGGGGAGGCCTCACTTACCTTAGAAGCTTGCTGCTTCCCACTCCTGACTCTGCGTCTCTATAGAGGGAAACAGCCATGAGTGGCTGGGAGTCGCTCCCTGCCCGGCCTGGCCTCTCACTGTGTCTACCAAGGGTGCCCGGGACAGCCGCCCACTAAGGGGAAGAAGAGTCCCCAACCCTTACCCACCTGAGTGGTCGTGGGGTAGCACTTATCCATCAGCCCCCACAGTGGCCTTAGGGTCTCTCCTATGGGCTGCATGACAAGGAGAGAGGAGAAGGGAGGGTGGCTGAGGGGATGTCTTAGGGCTCACTGGCCAGGCCAGGGAATTAAGGGAACTTCAGACCATCATTGATGTCTTTAGAAAGATAGAACTTTGTGTTCATGAATAAAACAAGAATAGGCTCTAAAGTAGAAATGTTCAAACAACAACCTCTAATTCTTGAAAAACAAAACTACGATATGATTATGGGAATGAAAAACCCGATCAGTATAGAAGGAAAAGTTGAAAAAGTATTTCCCAGAAAGAAGAGAAGATATCAGGAGGGCCAACAGCTAAACCATGGGTCTTTCTGAAAGTGGGAACAGAGGCACCAGACTGGGGTGACAGGAGAGTCTAAATAAATACATTCCTTCTTTATCAAGACAATTTCCCAAAGATGAGGGACATGAGTTTGCAGAAGAGAAGGAACCACCAAGTGCCCATGACAATGGATGAAGAAAACCCACTGCAGACTGTCCTCAGTGAATTTCAGAACGCTGAGGACAAAAAACCTGCAAACTTCCAGAGAGTCAAGGAAAAAAGTCTGTTTTATGAATTCAATTTCATCAGACTTTTAAATACCAACATTTCAAGCCAGAAGGCAATGAGGCTCTTTAGAATGTGGGGAACTATTTGTAGTCTAGAATTCTATACCTAGCCATACTCTCAGGTGAGTATTAATTAAGTCCTTTCAAACATGTAATATCCCAAGACCACCCACCCGTCAGGAAGCACCTGGAGGTTGCACTCCACCAGGGGCTCCCACACGTGAGAACTATGAAGCACCTCAGTGGATGCAGCATCCACTTGTGCCCTGACCAAGGGCTGGGAAGGGAGCTTCTGCCATGGGTTCTTGGACCTGGGATATCAAAGAGGACATGCAGCCTCAGGCAGGAGTCCTGCTCACCACCCCCTGCTCACACGTGTAGACCACATTCCAGGACTATTCACATGCATTAGGAGACATCTGCTCCTTTGGGTTTGTCCAGGCCATGGCCACGGAGCCTGAGATGACCATATAGGCAGCCCTCGAGGGGTGGGGCATGTGTTTTGGGTCAAGGAGCATGACCCCAGGGAGCCCGTCCCAGCCTCTAGGCCCTGACAGAGGTGCCTTGCTTACCTGTGATGATTCCCCAGCAATGTCATGGTCAGGAGCTGTTTTCCCCACAGACTCCTGAAAATAGTAATATACCATTCCTGCAGGTAGGTGAGGAAAGACTAGTTAAAACATTGAAAAGAGTGATGTAGTTATTTTAAAGTGTCAGTATTTACAATATGCCAGAAGTCATATCTTTTTACACTGTTTAAACTATGAAAGATGTTAAGTGTTAACTTAAAATGTGTAGGGGACAGTTTTTCAAAAGGTATGGTAAGCAAAAACTTGGAAATCATTGTTATAGGACATTATTAGGTTGTGGGGGGGGGGGTTCTTTGTAGTTTTTTTGTGTTTTTTGTTTGTTTGTTTGTTGGGGGGGGTGAAGTATGACCTTTAGAGTTAGATGTGGGTTCAAATGCCAGCTCCACTATGAGGGCACAGAGGGGAGAAGGGGAACAAGAAGGCCAGCCCCTGGGGAGCCAGGCCTCTGGGAGCCCTGGTGGACAGCTGGAGACTGGGTGGCTATGAGGGGAGAACCAGTTGCCCAGGTCCTGCCGTCATCCTCAACTCATGCCAGCACCCGGCCCTTACCTGAAAGAATGAAGATCTGTACTACATACAGGAACTTGTAGAGCCTGGAAGGGAGCAGAGCTGAGTGTCAGGCAGGTTCTCTCATGCCCTCACCAGTGGGTACTGGCTTTCCACCCCAATCCAGGACCTGTTCTAACGGGGCGTGTGCAGTCACCATTTTGGATGAAAAAACCCATCAGCTGCCACAGGGCTCAGCCTGGGCTCTCCACTGACTGGCCAGCAGGATTCTATGCCGACTCTGTGCCTCTGCCACCTTTGAAAGCCAGACTTGGAGCCTGGAGCAGACAAGGAGCCCAGGTCCCACCCTCTCCCTTTCCTTCCGTACTTGTAAACATGAGCCCATCCTGCCACTCCAGCCAGAAGGCGGGGACCTGACCTCCGCTGGGCACTCACAGGTACTTACACAATGCTGGGTTAGCTCTTCTCCTGTAGCCCTCCAAAGCCCTCCCTACTCTAGACTGATAGGTCCTACACCAGGGTTAGAAATCAGATCCCAGGACCCACCTTTCTTTTCTGTGACCACTCCCTTGGGACAAGCAGAGCATTTGGGCATTGCCAAGAAGGTGGCTGGCTCCCTGCCTACACACACATGCACACACACAGAGCCATGTCCCACCTGCCAGGACCAGGCCCTCTACCCTGACCCTGAGTCCCAGAGACACTCTAACGGTCAAGAAAAAGTTATAGAGAACACTATTTTCCCAAGCGGGGGTTCCCCTTCCTGGTCATTTGGGATGTGATAACAGGGCCCACCCAAACTTTACCTGTCTCTCTGGTAGCATATACCAAACACCATTTTCAGTCTAAGAAGAAAAAATAGGCAACAGTCCATGTATCACAGAGGCCCGGAGTCCCAGTGTTCCTTCACTCCCTGGCTTGCAGGAATCACAACAGACCAGAGGCAGCTGGGGAATGGCAAGGACCTCCACTGGCAGAGCTCAGCCAGAGGCAGGCCTGCTGGTCATGGATGGAAGTCAAACTCAGGATGGAATGGGCTAGCACTAGGAGCTTGGGAAATGCTCAGAAATTTCTCCCAAGACCTCAGAACCCCAAGCGAAAGATGTTTTCAGTGCCTTCGGAGGTGGGAAGGTAGGTCCCAGGGAAAAGAATGGGAAAAGGGGGGGCTGGGTAGGATGAAGGAAAAAGGTATAGCTCTAGTGAACATTTGGTACAAAACATCCCCAGGGTGTAGGTGGTGAATTATAACAGTAAATAATGATTTTAAAATACTTTAAAGTACTTTCTGGGTTATGCAGCATTTGGGGAATAATTTGGGGAGTACTGGGGGAGATTCCCTAGCCTCCTCAAAATATTCTGTCTAGAACCCCATCATCAGTGTCAGCATTCCCTACAAATTGACACCATTGTAAAGTTAAGGTTTCCAATGTGGGCAGGATCCTTGATGTAGCTGAGTGAGCCTCCTTTCCCCAAGTCAGCTCCCATTTTCCACAGGGATTGTTTCAGAATCCCTCTAAAGACTGAAACCTCCACCAGATGGGAGTTCACTTTACCTTCTACCACCAAACCCACCCATTCATTCTCTGCTTCTCACAGGCTACTTCCTCAAGGGAGGAGGCTGCCCTCCCCTCTCTGAGACCACCCCCTTCGGTACTGCATTCCATCTGGTCTTCTCACAACCTGGGCATTTGAGAGGTCTCCTCTCTCATATATTCAGCCTTTCCTTCCCTAATGGCTTCTTCCCATCAGCATTTAAACACATCACTCATCCCTTCTATAAAAAAAAAAAAGGCTGCCTGGCTGTCATGGCTCGGCGGTTGAGCATCAACCTATGATCTAGGAGACTGCAGTTCAATTCCAAGTCAGGGCACATGCCCGGGTTTCAGGCTCCATCCCCAGTAGGGTATGTGCAGGAGGCAGCTGATCAGTGACTCTCTCATCATTGATGTTTCTCTCTCTCTCTCTCCCTTCCTCTCTCTGAAATCAGTAAAGATATATTAAAAAAAAAAAAAAAAAAAGGCCTTCTCTCTGAACCTATATCCCTTCTCAGCAACGGTCCTAACTGGCCCCCCTTCATACCAGTCTCCTTGAGAGAGCAGCAGTCTACAGGGGATGTCTTCACTCCTCTCCACCTCTCCTGTACTCCACAGCCCATCTCAATCTGTTTCTGTACCCCTAAGTCCTTGAAACTTCTCTCACCAAAGTCACCAATATGCTCCTAGTCACCAAATCCAGTGGGCCCCTTTCAGGCCTTGGCTCATTCCATTTTTCTGCCGGGCACCACAGCGCCTCAGTGTCCCTTGCTGGTCCCCTCTGGGAATCCTGCCAGCAGGGTCTTCAACAGTAAACTTTGTTAGTCATTTACAACTAGTGTGAGTGAAATTATCGGGCTTTTTCTGAGAGGAGGTTTGGAGGAGGAAAGGAGAGAAAATGAGTCCTAAAGGAGAGGAGAAGATGGGGAGAAGGGGAAGGCCAAGTAGGAAGGGAAGCCCAAAAGGTAGGCTAGGAGTGGTAAAGACAGCCGTCACCGGCTTAGGCTTCTTACTGCCTTTCAAGCCCACTTACCAAATATGCCAACCTTGACAACTTTGGCGGTTTGCAGTTTGCAGACTCCGTTGACTGTATCAGTGTTCGTGCAGCCTATTCACCTTCCCTCAGGCTCCAGGGTGGAGCCTGAGAAGGGTACTGGAGCCAGCTATGTCTAGGAGTCCAGAATACAGCCCCTCCCTTTTGCAAGGAGAGTGCTCTCTGTGTGTGACATCACATCTTAGGGGGCTTTATGACAGGACAGCCTCTCCAACCTTGACCAGTGCAGGTTGTCAGCTGCCTCAGGGTGGCTTTAAACCCCCATCAGTCAGAGCCAGCACCTTTGTGGATATCTCTTTGGTTCCATTCAATGCCATCAATGCTGTACAAAGACACAAAGGTGTGTTAGATTCAGTCTTGTCACATAACACAATAAGCATATTTTCTGAATCAAAAACAGGAACACAGCCTGACAATTTCTAAGTATCATCCATTCACCCAATCAGTGTCTGCTGAGCTTCCATTTGGGGCCAGGAACAATGCCAAGGGGACAGAAAGGTAAACAGGACACAGAGCCTGCCATTGAGGAGCCTGAAGACATCAAATAGACATCTTCTGGCCCAGCAAGTGTGGCTCAGTGGTTAAGCATCGACCTATGACCCAGGAGATTGCAGTTCAACTCCTTGTCAGGGCACACGCCCAAGTTGCGGCGTCAGTTCCCAGTAGGCGACGTGCAGGAGGCAGCCGATCAATGACTCTGATCATTGATGTTTCTATCTCTCCCTTCCTCTCTCTGAAATCAATAAAGACATATTTTTAAAAAATAGACATCTTCTGATTCAAGGCAATAATTTCTACCCTCCCCAAATTACTATAAATGCAGCTAAATAATAATTACAAAACTATGGATGGTTAAAACTAACAAATGCCTGAGTTTCACATTTACATGAAATATTAACCAAGAGATCATAAAACAAGTCTCAGTAAACTTTAAAAGAGTAAAGTCATTTCAAGTATGTCCTTTGACTACAATGGAATCAAATTAGAAATCAGTAACAGAAAACGCCTGGAAAAATCACCAAATATTCGTAAACTAAACAACATACCTTTAAATAACATATGGGTAAAATTAGAAGTCAAAAGGGGTCCTGGCCTGGTAGCTCAGTTGGTTAGAGCATCATCCCAATATTCCAAGTTTGATCCCCAGTCAGGACACACACAAGAGTCAACCAATGAATGCATACATAAGTGGAATAATAAATCGATGTTTCTCTCTCTCTCTCTCTCTCATAAATTTTTTTAAAATTCTAATTAAAGGGACTGCCATCCGTGAATGTAAACATGAAATCACAGTATTCACCAATCCCTGATTAAATAAGTGCCTAAAACAGTGGCACAGACTCCATGACCCGGGACTTCAGATGAATCGTTAAGTAATTGAGGCATTGTTGCCCTTCACCCCAACCCAGAATTTTGTCCAGATTCCAGGAGCATATGCACTGCCAAGGCTTTATGAGGGTAAAGACTACGACTCCATCTTCTCTATGTCCTCTGCATTTGACTCAATGGGTGGCAGAGAACACCAAGCAGGAAATGTCTGAGAAATGCATGCCATGGTCACATGGGTGAGTGGCAGGGCCAGAGTCCCAGATTCCTGCCCACTCCTCTGTGCTTCTGACATCTATGACTTAGACCCATGCTTTGTAGGAGCTCCCTCTTCAGGCAGCAACCTGAAGTGATAAGGTTATTTTCAGGGCTAGCTTCCTAGGCTTGCAATCTGTGCAGTCACATAGGGCCCTGTGATCAGAAGGGCCACACTTGGTATACCACCCCCTCCCTACTGGGGAATATCAGAGGAGACCTAATAGAGTCAGAACTTTCACCTTTGACCATAGATAGAAAGGTAACCTTCCTCCCATGGTGTTGGTGCTGAGTCCATGGGAGAAGAAGCAGTTATGAGACACTCCTACCCTTGCCAACCAGAGAGGTGCCAGGGAAAGACTAGTGGGGAGCTGGAGCTCTGACTCCTGCTAATTACTATGCAGGGCCCCAACCCCTTAGTGTCAACTGAGGCTGAGTGGAGAACCTGGACTTGTACCCTCACTTACAGTAACAAGGAAGCTCTTCCACCTCCCCTGCTGGTGTCAAAGGAAGCCAGCTAAAAGAGAAAGTTTAAATAAGACCCAGGATCTCATAACATAGTACCCAAAATATCCAGGTTTCAATAAAAAAAAAAAAAATCACTCATCATACCAAAAACAAGGAACATCTTAAACTGAACAAAAAAACAATCACTAGAAGCCAGCGGCAAGATGACAGAGACAGAATTATCTGATAAAGATTTAAAGCATACATTATAAACATGCTTCAACAAGCAATTATGAACATGCTTGAAACAAAATAAAAATAGTCTCAGCAGAAAAACATTAGATATAAGGAAGAACCAGATAGAAATTTTAGAACAATAACTGAAATAAAAAGCTCAGTGAATGGGTTCAAAAGCAGAAAACAGAAAATAACCAGTGAACTGGAAGATAAAACGGTAGAAATTACTCAATCTGAACAACAGAAAAAGACAGACTGAGGCAAAAATGAACAGAGCCTCAGGGACGTGGGACTATAAAAAGATCAAGCATCGTGTCATCAGAGTCTTGGAAGGAGAGGAGAAAGAGGGCACGGCCGAACAAATACTGAGAGAAAACTTTCCAAATTTTGTAAAAAGCATGACAATCCCAAGGAGCTGAGCAAATCCTAAGCAAGATAAATTCAAACAAGCCCTCATCAAGCTACATCACAAACTTCTGAAAACTAAAGAAGAACTCTTGAGAGTAGCTAGAGAAAAACACCACCTTGAATTTGTCATTCAAAATCAATTAGAATGACAGCTGATTACTCATTAGAAGCCATAGAGGCCAGAAGGAAATGACACATTTTCTTTAACTGCTGAACTGTCAACAGGGACCCCCACATCCAATGAAAATATCCTTCAGGAATGCTGGGAGGAAATCAGGAAATTATCAGATAAAGAAAAACTAAGAGAAATTGTCACCAACTGATACGCTCAACTCACGTTTAATAAAGGTGCAAAAGCAATTCAGTGGAAGAAGGCTGGTTTTTCAACGAATGGTGCTGGACTAACCAGACATCCATAGGCAAAAAAGAATAAATAAATAAATAAATAAATAAATAAATAAATAAATAAATAAATAAATATGAACTTTGACCTAAATCTAACACCTTATACAAAAATTAACTAAAAATTGATCACATACTTACATGTAAAACAACAGTATAAAAAAATTTATAGAAAGTCTTCTGGATTTAGGGCTAAAAAACATAGCAATGTTAAATTTGACAGCAATAGCATAATCCAGAAAAGAAAAAAAATTGGTAAATTGGTTTTCATCAAATCCAAACACTTTGCTCTGTGAAAGATCCAGTTGAAAAGATTAAAAAACAAGCTACAGAGTGGAGGAAATATTTGCAAACCACATATCTGACAAAGGACTAGTATCTAGAATATATAAGGTGGGCAAAGGTAGGTTTACAGTTGTTTGTATGGAAAATAACACAATTAATAAATAACACTACAAGAATAAACTCTGTTTCATGTATTCACAACTGTAAATCTACTTTTGCCCACCCCTGTATAAAGAACTTTCAAAACTCAACAGGTAAACAATCTAATTGGCAAATGGGCAAAAGACATGAAAAGACATTTTACTAGAGAGAATATAAGATGAGAAATAAGCATGTGAAAGGCCGTTTAACATCACTATCCATTAGGGAAATGCAAATTAAAACAACGATGGGATAACCCTACATACCTATCAGAAAGGCTAAAATAAAAAAAGTTGTTCTACCACATGCTGAAGAGCACGTGGGGAAACTGGATCTCACTCACACATTGCTAACGGGGATAACGGTACAGTTGCCCTGGAAAACAACTTGGTAATTTCTTAACTAAATATGCAACAAACATATGACCCAGCAATTACAGTGCTGGGCACTTACACTAGAGAAATGAAGTCTTATGTTAAGGTAACTTGACATGCAGCTTGTAACTGATATCAGGGACTAGCTCTCAATTCTTTTCATTATATAACACATTGCCTCTAATTCTGTGGAGGACGTTCACTTCCTGTATTGTGCTGTCCTTTCCCAACTGTCTAAAATCATTGTTTTTTATAAGGACAAATAGTGCATTTTTCTGTTTTAAGGTGATGAGAGCAAGAAGGTATCATTAAAATATACTGGACTTTGCACATTTGAAAAATCATCAGAGACCATTTTTCCCATAACATTACTGAGATATAATTTAATACCATAAAATTTAGCTTTCACCCATTTAAGTGTACAAGTCGGTGAATTTTAGTATATTTACAAAGTTGTGCACTAGCACCAGAAACTAATTTTAGAGCATTTCCATCAGCCTAAATAGAAACTTCATGCTACATTCACTCCTCATTTCCACTCTCAGCCCTTGAGAAGCACTAATCTACTTTCTGCTTATATACATTTGCCTTTTCTGAACCCTTCACACAAAAGGAATTATCGGATATGTGTTGTTCTGTGTCTAGCTCCTTCCACTTAGCATAATTTTTGTTTTGTTTTTTAAAAATATGTTTTTATTGACTTGAGAGACAGGAAGGGAGAGGGAGAGAGAGAGATAGAAACATCAATGTTGAGAGAGTCATCATTGATCGGGGCCTCTTGCACGCCTCCTGCAAGCCCCGGACCGGGGACCGAGCCACAACCCGGGCATGTGCCCTGATGGGGAACCGAAAGGCGATCTCCTGGATCTTTGGTCCATGCTCAACCACTGAGTCATGCCCAGCTGGGTTAGCATAATGTTTTCAAGGTTCATCATGGCTGAAGAATATTCCACTGTATGGATGTATCATATTTTGCTTATACATTTTCCTTGTCCATCCAGCTGATGGACTTTTGTTTCTATTTTTGGCTATCATGAATAATGCTGCTATGAACATTCATGTACACGTGTCCGTGTGGACAAATGTTTTTATTTTTCCTGGGTAGATACCTAGAACTGGAATTTCTGGTTCGTATATAAGTCTATGCTTAACTTTTTAAGAAACTGCCTGTCTTCCAAAGTGGCTGCACCATTTCATAGTCCCACCAGCAATGTCTGAGGGTTCCAATTTCTTCACATCCTCACCAACACTACTGTCTATGGTTTTTATTCTAGGCATTCCAGTGAGTGAGTAGTATCTTATAGTTTTGATTTGTATTTACCTAATGACTAATGATGTTGAGTGTCTTTTCATGTACTTATTGGTCATTTATATATATAATTTAGAGAAATAGCTATTCAAATCCTTTGCCTATTAAAAAAATACTTTATTTTTTATAGTAGTTTTAGGTTCACAGCAAAACTGAGTGGGAACTACAGAGACTTCCATATATCCCTTACTCCCCCCAACACACACCTACACTCACAGCCTCCCCCACTATCAACATCCCTCAGCACAGTGATACATTTTTATTACAACCAATGAACCTACACTGACACGCCACTGTCACCCAAAGCCCATAATTTACATTAGGGTTCACTCTATGGGTTTGGACAAATGTATGACGTTTCCACAATTATAGTATCATACAGAATGGTTTCACTGTCCTAAAAACCCCCTCTGCTGCACCTATTCATCAATTCCTCCTCCCAGTCTCTGGCAAACAATGATCTTTTCATTGTCTCCATAGTTTTGCCTTTTCCAGAATGTCATACAGCTGAAATCACACAGTATGTAGCCTTTTCAGATTGGCTTCTTTCACTTAAGTTATATTCATTTAAGTTTCCTTCATATCTTTTCATGGCTTGATAGCTGAAGGATATCCTATTGTCTGCACATACCACCATTTATTTATTCATTCACTTCCTAAAGGACTTCTTGGTTGCTTCCAAGTTCTGGCAATTATGAATATAAACATCCATGTGCAGATTTTCTGTGGACATAACTTTTCAATTCAGTGCGTAATACCGAGGAATGTGATTCCTGGATCATATGTTAAGAGCATATTTAGTTTTGTAAGAAACTGCCAGACTGTCTTCCTAAGTGGTTGTCTGATTTTGCACGCTCACCAGCAATGAGAGTTCCTGCTATTTCACATCCTCATCAGCATTTGGTGTCACCTTTGCTCATTTTTAATTAAGCTGTCTCTTTATTATTGAGTTGTAAGTGCCTTTTATATATTCTAGATACAAGTCCCTTATGGAATATATGACTTGCAAATATTTTATCCCAGTTTGTGGATTATTTTAAAGGTCTTTTTCTGTTTTGTTTTAATGAGAAGGAACATTAAACATTAAATTCATGACAGTGGTTTTATCTAGAGGAGGCAGAAGCATGGACCAGGTTAGAGTTACACAGGGAGATATGCTATA